CCGGATTTCTGCATCAATTGTGTCTGCCCTGGATTTGTCAAAACCGATGTAAACTATAATACTGGAATCCTGAGTGTTGAAGAAGGTGCTGAAGGTCCTGTGAGATTGGCTTTGCTGCCAAATGGTAGTCCTTCTGGCCTCTTCTTTGACCGATTGGAAGAACAAGAATTTTGATGAGATTGTGGGAAAGCTGATGTCTTTTCCTTCGTTTTTGGCTTGTGTATCATCCCAGAATCTCAACCATACAAAAGCGCATGTAAAATGTACGATGTGCGGTAGAAGCTATAGCTGAAGCTTGAAGCTTTTCCTCCTATTTCAGAATGAATTCAGATCTAAACGCTTTGGAAACATCTGCTTGAATTAGTAGTTTAACATCCTCTAAATTCTCATATTTTTTAGAGTACATTTGAATATTTATATCCAGACAGCGCCCAACTTTATTCATTATAGTCATCACTTATGCCTTAAAAAATGTCAGACACTGTAATTGATTATACAAATGTATTCAAAAGATTAACTAACTTCCTAATTTGTCAATGGTCTAGCTTTTTAATTGGACTAGTTTTGGCTTTTCAAGCAGCTTGATTAGCTGTCTCTTGCAAAAAAACATGTCTCATTTGGATCTCCTAACCATGTCTCCGGGAATAAAAAATGTTCAATCTTTGAACTTAATCGTTGTCCTCTTTGTTGCTGTCTTTATATTTTTCCTGCATTTCTTTCCTTCCTTACATATCATTTCTCTACCTTCAAAGTTTCAGATTTATTAGATCCATCCTCTCTCAAAGTAGATGGAAGATATATCCACCTTTCTTGCAAAAAACAGGTACTTGTTTCCTTGGGAATTTCTTGTCTTTACACTGTCAATCTTTCTCTTATCTTTATCTTTCTTTCTATCATCTCTCAGGTATGCGGCGGTTACTGGGGCAAACAAGGGGATTGGACTGGGAATATGCAAGCAGTTAGCTGAAAAAGGGGTGACTGTGGTTTTGACTGCTAGAGATGAGAAAAGGGGCATTGAAGCTGTAGCAAAGCTCAGAGAATCTGGTCTCTCTGACTTCATCCTTTTTCATCAACTTGATGCTGCAGATCCTGCCAGTATTGCTTCTCTGGCAGATTTCATCAAATCCCAGTTTGGAAAGCTTGATATCTTGGAATATTTAAGTTCCAGTCTCTCTACCTTGTCAGTTTATATTTATTCAGTATTGTTTTCCTGTGAACATGATCTTTTGTTTGGTTGCTTGAATTACAAATACACAAACATGGATTTTCTGCTTTGAATTTGGTCAGGTAGTTAGGAACAGCCATTTATTTTACATATACAGAATCGTTGTCTGTAATCCATGCTGAAGGATTTTGAAATCATCAACCATGTGTGGGTGAACAATGCAGGAATTCGTGGTGCCATAGCAGATGATGGTTCTATAAAAGCTTCAGATTTTGGAAAGGTAAGTCTTCTGTACATAATTCATTTCCTAGTTTTGAGAATCTTAGAAGTTTAGTTTCTGCTATCATGAAAACTCAGCCTGGTGCACAAGTCAACTGGACTCAGATGCTTACTCAAGCACATGAGTTAGCTGAAGAGGGGCCTCAAGACAAACTACTATGGTGCCAAAAGAATGTGCGAAGCACTAATTCCCCTCCTCCAGTTATCTGATTCTCCAGGAACTGTGTATCTGTCTTCCTCTGCAGGAAAGTTAGAGGTAAAGTTCAGAAGCAACTTAAATATTTCAGCATGTATTAAAGTGACCAACTTTGCTAAAATTGGAGTGCATATTTCAGTATGTATCAAATGAATGGGCGAAAGCAGTCTTAGGTGATGTTGAAAACCTTACTGAAGAGAGAGTGGATGAGGTATTGAGCCAATACTTGAAAGATTATAAAGAGGGTTCATGGGAAACCAAAGGCTGGCCTGCTTATTTGTCTGCCTATTAACTCTCAAAAGCTGCCATGAATGCGGACACAAGGATTCTGGCCAAGAAGTACCCAGGTGTCTGCATCAATTGTGTCTGCCCTGGATATGTCAAAACTGATGTAAACTATTATACAGGAATCCTGAGTGTTGAAGAAGGTGCTGAAGGTCCAGTTAGATTGGCTTTGCTGCCCCATGGTGGCCCATCTGGTCTCCTCTTCGAGCAATTGGAGGAAGAAGAATTCTGATGAGATTGTGGGAAAGTTGATGTTTTTCCTGTGTTTGTAGCTTGTGATTCATCTCTAATCTCAAATCAAATTTCAAAAGTACATTAACAGTATGATGTTGATCCAAAGAATAATTAGTCTGTGATTATGGTATTTTATTGCTTCGGAAACTTTTTCAAAACGTTAAACTGGGCAGACATGATGAGATGAAGACATGAAGCATTCACAGAAAGTACCATACGATTTGATTAACAAAATCTTTGATGCAAGGTACTTACATATAAATGGTTTATTAGCACGTTGCTTTTCAAATTTTTTTTTAGAGGACATGATTAAAAATTTATTTTTTAATTGCTCACTATATTTTGTTCTATATAATTGGTTTACTTTTAAGATTTAAAATTTATTTCTAATTATTTGACTTTTTTTTTTTTGTATTGACCTCTTGGTATCCGATAACTACATTAAGTCAGATCACATTAGGGGAGAAGCTCTCCAATAATTTGTTTTTTCATTCATAAGATTCGAACTCGAAACCTTATTTATGGGGAATCGAACTCTTTTCACTCGGATCAATAAGTCGTTGGTGTTATTTGACATTTTAAGAACCCTATAAAACATACTTTTTTCTTCTAATTTTACCCTCTCCACCAACTTGTAATAAATACAAAAATGTATTGCCAATAAATTAATTAAATTTTTTAGAAATTTTAAAATAAAATTAATAAATTTTATAAATTAATTCAGTTTAGAGTTTTTTTTTAAATTAAAATTTTAAATATTTATTTTAAAATTTTATACTTAACAAGTTTAAATTATTAACTATTAATTATTAATTTTAATTGATTAAATTTTGAAAATTAAAACCAAAAAATCAAGAGAACGAGACGGGGCCGAAGTATTCGCTTTCCGCCTGTATGTTTCAAAGATTTTCTCCTCCCCGGCATGGCATCCTTTCTTACACGTATACAAGCAGCAGAGTGTTACCGCAACATAATCTTCTTGGCGGTTTTAAGTATTAAGTTGAAAAATCTCATATCGAATGTATAAAGAGAAAATTTATAGGTTAAAAATAAGAAATGTCACTTCACCAATAATCAATTGATTTTACGTTAGATACAAATCTTGTATTGAATCTATATGCATAATTTTCACATCAAGTTGCAGGCTCTTGTTCTAACTAGCATTGTATGAATATGATCTGATCAAAACCAATTTTTTCATGTGAGCAAAAAAATAAATACATAATAAAAGATGGGATTTTCCCTTTTTTTTTTCTTCTGTAGGACTTGGGACAGGTGTTGCAAAAGTAAACCTAGCCGGTTAGATATTGAGTATAACTGTGCTATCCACAAGACAATTTGATTTACACCATGAAAATAGATGCTATATTCCTAGTCACTATAGTGTTATATATGCATGAATGGCATCATAGGTGGTGACGTTCTAATTATCAGTGAAATTTCTACCTATTTTTGATGGTTTGCTACTGAATTAGTCCATTTGAGAGAATTGAACCCTAAAACAATCTTTACCCTGCACCTTTATTCACAACTTGAGATGAGGC